AGGATATACAGGTTCAAAACATGGAACTGCTCAAGAATTCAGACATGTTACCTATTGCAGGGTTATATTTCATAGTGACAGACGTTCAAATGACTTCTTTAGAAACTTTAAATTTGTTCTGGCACCAAATCCTGCTTCCCAGGGAATTAAAAATTTGATGAATTTCTTGACTTGATTAATACATCCAATTTTGCCACTGTGGATTCTTCACAGGGAAAATCTGTATTCAATTCACTGGCTCAGTAGCTGGAAATACCAATGGCATAGAACACTGTGGACAAGCCAGGAAATACAGCATAGAAATCCAAGTTTTTTTTTACTTTCTATATCTGAAATAACTCTGTAATGCTGAGCTACAATGTCGTTTAAAGGTACAAGAATAAAGTCAAAAAGATGAAAGGGCAAAAAGAAATGAGACTTATAAAATGGTAACGATAATAAAAAGGACTTTTAAAGCTAAGCTTGGAACAACAAGAAGCTGAGAGAATAGATCTATGTGCTGCTTGTGGAAGATGGTACAATCACAACAGATTAATAACAGAGAATTGTTCTGCTCTAGTATGTGTTTATCTTCTCCATTAATGGGTTAGAGGCAAAAGCAATACTGTTTGTTTTTGTTCACGTTTAATGTTCAATTTGGGATTTTAGGTTAGAATTAAATGAATAAATAAAGAATATAGGAGATATGACATAATACAAGTACACATACAGAAAAACTAAAGTTTTTATTTGATGCAAATACAATATGAGCAGAAAATGTGATGGCTGCCAGTAAAGCTAATGTGACTTGAAGAGAAGAGTATCGAGACAATGGGAGGTAATGGGGCACTCTATGTCATTCTTGCCAGACTATATCTGGAATTCTGTGCTGTTCGTTCTAGAGACACAACGTAAGAGGAGTGTCAACAACAACGGGTGCATTTTGATAAGGGATATGTGATGGTAAGAGGTCTGGAAAGTATCATGAGAATCTATTAAAGAAATTAGAGGTATTTGGTCTGGAAGAGGGAAGACTAGGGAGGTGGTACTGTGAGGAACATGTTACATGCCTTTCTGATTTGGATAGCTGGCATGTAAGAACAGGCATTAGCCCCAGAGTACAGAATTAATGCATTTTACAGTTAAGGAAACATTTTTACAAATTAAAAACCTTAAATTGTTTACGTTGTGAAACAGTGAGTTCCAAGGACTGGGAACTGTTCTAAAGACATCGGCTATTATTTGTGGAGGAATTTATAGATGGGATTTCTGCACTGAACTGGGTCACTGGAGTACAGAATATTGCAAACTCCAGAAGATTTTATGATTCCAAACTAGGAGTTAGTGCTGGTGCTATGAACATAAAGCCAATTAGAAGGCATGGTTTAAGGTGTGTTGGCATTGCTCTGCTGCTCCTCTACCCTCAAAAAATAATCCTCATTATAAAATAATTATTCTTTTAGATATCCAGTCCATTAGGTCTTGCATACTTCTTGTGTATTCAGAGACTTGTTAAAATGCAAATGTCCTTAGAGGAAACAATAATATACGGGAATTAGTTACAACTTGTTGACAGAAAGACATGACTGAGAAAGGCAGCAAGAGTAAACAAGGCCCGAGTGGGCGTAAGTCTGTAGAAGACAAATCCTTGTAGTAAAAGAACCAACACTATTTCGTCAAGGTTCTCCTAGAGAGCCAACAGATTACCGAGGCTACAACTACGAGTTCTATCAAGATGTGGCCCAATTTTCCAAGGAGTCTATATCATTACAACTTTTCATGAGTGCAGTTTCTGAAATGCGTCACTAATGTAAAGCATCCCGTGTTTATTAAAATAGAGAATCTCTGAGTAACAGGTGCCTAGAGACATTTGAACAAACTGCTAAATTTCAGAAGATTCAATTTGTGGCAAGATTTATTGAAACCGAACTAGAATTTCCTATACAGTGTAACTTTGTACCACTAAATAAAATGAACTTTTGGGTGGGTTCTACTTAATAAAATATGCTATGTTATTATATATGTTTTCATTTAATAATATTTGTTAAAGTTACATAGGTTTCAGATACAAGATCAATGTAGCTTGAGTCAAGATTTTGCTCCTAAACATCATCATTGAAATTCTATGTATTTCCACTTCTCAATGATCCTAAATTAAACTAATATTTTCTCTTCCCCTAGCTGGTTACTCCTCCTTGCTTTGCTAATGTCAGAAATAATATCATTGTTCAAAGTGAAACCTTATATTTTGTCTTCTGCACGCCATGTCCAAACAATGCTGAGTTCTTTACTACAAGAAAAGGTTTCATATACCTCTTTCTATCCTATTACCATTACTTTAGTTCATGTCCTAATTATCTTTTACCTGTACTGCAATTTCTCATAATTAATATCTGTACTTCCAATCTCTCTCCTCATGAAAGCTCTGTTACACACTGGTACATGAGAACTTTTCCTAAAGCATATATTCTTATCAAGTAGCTCTCTTGCTCAAAAACTGTCAATGACTCACTATAATACTACAGAACAAAGCCTAAACTAATTAATATGCCATTGAAATCTTCTATTATGTGATCTCAATCTATCTTTTCAGCTTTATCTCTTAGTATTTCTTTTTATGGTCATCATTCTCCAATCAATCCATTGTATTGTCCATTATCTAAGGATATTCTATGCTTTCCAACAGCTGGAGTGGCCTTCCTCAATTTTTTTCTACTCATTTTATTCATTTCCCAAGATCCAGGCTTAAAGATTCTTTTCCTTAATCAATCAATCAATCTCTTTCTCTCTTTCTCTCATTTATTTATTTACTTTCTTTACTTGTTCTCTGTTCTCCCATGGAACGTTTCTGTCCCATCCCATTTACTGCATTGCACCTTATACCCTAGTTTGGTTTAATACATCTCTTCTCCCCCACTTAGGGTCAAGGCCAGTGCTTAGCAAAGACTGCAGCAGATCCCAAGTGTTCTGTAAATGTATTTTGGTTTGATTATATTTTGATTTGATTATAAGCAGAATTATATTTTGATGATATTACATTACCAGGAATAAGTCTAGGGGCATTACTTCAGCAGTTTGGAGCTGAGAAGGGCTGTGTATAAGTTGCTACACATCTAGTATTTGTTTGCATTTCTTCATGGACATGGTGAGAACATTTATTTCCTAAACAGTACAGCTCTTCTTTGGTGAGATAAACCCATCACAATAATTTTCTTTATCTGAGCATTCTCTGTGTTACCTGAGGCACATTTGGGCTATCAGTCACACCTACAGCCTCCTCTCCTAAACTCTCTGATGTCATGTGGGACAGTGAGCTGCCAGGAGGGGAGAAGGCAGGGAACCACCTTTCACCGCCCTCAACGTCACTGAGAAGCGCTGGGTGGTGGCAGATGCCACAGGCTACCTACCAGACAGCACTGGCTCTTTCCTCCTTCCTGCCAGAGAAACATTCTGTCTGGGCAACCACTTCACCAAGGAGTCTACTTCCTGGAGACTCAGGGGTAATTCCTAATTAAGCCACTCATGGTGATACCATTCTCCTTTCTAGAAATTTCTCTGGGGATGTGTGACTGAATTCGGCTCAATGGAATATGACAGGAAATTTGCTAAAGTGACTTCATTCTTGAAAAGAGAAAGAAAAAATAAAATGTCTGCCTTTTGTTGTCTCTGAAGGTGACATTTGGAACCAGGGTTGTTGTCTTACAACTATAAGAGGTGCCAGCTCTTGGACACTGCTAGCACCCTGAGAGTTGAAAGCAGAAAGACAGAAAGAGCCAGGGACCTCGATGATACACTGTCACAGTGCTGGGGTCACCCTACCTCAGGGCTTTTATTATGTGGCAAAATACATTTTCCTTATTGTTTGAGCCAGTTGAACAGGGGGATTCTCTTATTGTAGCTAAGACACCCGGACACAGAGCACTTGGTATTGGCATCACGCGCTTGCTCAGGTGGCAGACATTAATCACTGTTAGGGCTTCAGGGGAGAAGCACATTATTTCTACCGCCTGCCTAAAAATTTGCGCTGGTTTGTTGTTAGGTCCTCAATCTGTCACTTTTTCCATGGATCTGGTAAGTCATAATCTCTTTAAACTATACAGTATGGTCCCTTTTGTAACATTTATCAAACTTAGAATTACTAATGTTTGTCTTCTTCACTAGTTGAAAAGCTCCATGAGGGCAGTGACTATATCTGCCAGGAAAATTCCTGTATTTACAGCACCTAGCACAGGGCTGGCGCACACGTGTTCAATAAATAGGTGCCCCGTAATCATCTGTGAAATGGATGAATGACTGAGTAAACGAATATACAGTCATGCATCACTTAATGATGAGGATAAGTTCTAAGAAATGCATCATTAGGCAATTTCATCCTTGTTTGAACAGCATAGAGTGCACTTACACAAACCTACATGGTATAGCCTTCTACACACCTAGGCTCTAGGGCACTAATTCCATGGGACCACCATCATATACCTGGTCCGTCATCGACTGAAAAGTCATTATGCGGCACGTGACAGTATAGAGAACATCAAAAACATTCTCCCGGCTACTTCCTTCGCTTACACCTCCCATGCCCTGATTCCTGACCCAGTCAGGCCTACAAAAGGGACCCCTGTCCTGCATGTTAGGACACAGGAAAGAGAAAAGGGAAGGAAGCTATCTTTACAGCCACTGTCTGCTCTCTCAGTGGAGACGGGGAAGGAGACAATTCTCAGAGGCAACTTACAAAGTATTTTCATAAAGAGAAACTACAATCATCTTCTATATTGCATACTGGATCAAAATATTATTTAAAAAATGTTCAGAATCATACTTTTTAGAGCCAGAATGAAGTTGAGGGTTAATTCAGTATAACTAGCTGAGCAAAGATTCATCAATCACCTATTTCAAGTTCCTCACTTTTCAGATGAAGAAACTGAGTGCTACTGTCACCAAGATCAGCATCAGTCTTTCTTAGGCTCTATGATGGAATAAAAATTGAATGCAGACTGTCATACTCATTGGCAACAAAAAGGATATTTCCCTGGCAACGTCGTTCCGACTCTGTAATCGGTGTAGCTCTTGTTTGGATGGAAGTTGAAAATAAAAAGGAGACCCGCTCTCTCAAAAGCGATGATCTTATTGTCTTCGTGCTTCTCACTCACAAAGGCCTGCAAGAATTAACACATATATTACATTTAAATAACACCTAGATGCTGTTATAAGTAAATTATTCACAAAGAAGTTGTTTTTGTCTTTATTAATAGCGTTGTTAGTTATTAAGCCAAAAAAGAGAATGCCAGCACATTATATTTTTGAACATGTTGTAATTTTGCCATATCAAACTCTAAGCCAACAACAGTCTCAAAAACTGCTTAAAGAGTATAAAACTCTCATCAGCACTTGCCAACTTCCAGCAAAGCACAAAGGATCAGTGTTGTGGCTTAGGGTTTAAGTAAAAACATGGTAACTGTGCTATATATAAAGTGTTCGCGTGTGTGTATATATACTTACAAGCAAATTTTCTTTTTTAAGACTTTTCTTTTAGTCCCCTGATTAATGAGGTAAGGTACAAAAAATTACGTTTCAAAATATAATGTAACATTGTTATTATATTGAAATTTCTGAAGTTGTAGTTATCTTAAAAACTTTACATTGTTGCACAACTTCGTCAGATTCAAAGGCAACCTAAAGTCTTCATATATATATATATATATATGCCTAATCAAAGAGAAGGTCTGAAAAGAAATTACAGTATCTACAAGCTCTTTTATTTTATATACCATGTTTTACAGTAGGCAGTGAGAGCCTTTGCTATTCAAAACCACCCTCTTCCAGGCCCGGCTTTGAGAGGACTTATTTCCATGCATATCAGCTGCACCACTCTTGGTAACGTAGAAATGTGAACCAAGGCTCTAGAGTAAACAGCATGCCTTTTGGTATTCAACACTGTTCCTATTGAAAAGGAGCATCATTTTGCTCTCTCTTCTGGAAACAGCATTACTAATAAACGTGATTAGGGCATTCGTGTCATGTAGCCAATCTTACTGAATATATAAGCACCTTTGTTCAACCGTTAAAAAAAAACAACCATAGACAGCAAAGTAAAAACACATCAACGGTAATTTCAAACACCACCAGTAAAAAGCAAATGGGTTATAAGTAACACATACTATATGCTAATTTTTGCAAAGGAAAAAAAGAAGCCTGTATAAAATTTGCACCTGTTAATTACATTTTCTAAAACTTATTGAAAACTGAGACTTTAATTCTAGAGGAGAGTCAGGCTCATGAAAAATACAAAACAGCATGCAGGTATAATGGCATCTATTGAAATGACAAGTTAGAGACCAGTAAAGGAGGGGAAAAAAAGGAATAAAGAAATCTACATGTTGTCAAAGTCATTTCTTTATGACAGCATAATTATTTATATAAAGAAAAACAGTCAAAACAATTAAGATGTTTTCACAGCAATTTCCAAAATGGATTCCATGCAGAGCTTTTGTCATTTATTTTAACCAACTGAAACAAAAATTACTAAATTTAAACAACAAAAAGCTAACCAGCAAAGTAAGCAGGGCATTATGTTTAAGATTTTCATTATCTATTGGAGAGACTTCAGTGACATGTTTTGACAACCTGAAGTGTGTTACAGGGCACTTACACACTGAATAATAAAGTGATGTTTAAAAGATCTGCACACAGATTTAAGCTGATTGCCATTCGAAGCATGTACAACATTGGTGACTAAAACATAACATTTAGAGGAAAGAGCTTACCTGGGGAGCTGAAAGCCAACCACATCTTTCTTCCAATTTATTCATATCCCTGTCAAAGTTATTTAGGAACTTATAGCGAAGAAGGTGATCATCAGTTAAATGAAACTGCCTTCTGGCATAATGGTAACTCTCATTATTTCCTTTTCTTGGGAAGTCTAACCATTCAGGATGGCCAAATTCATTACCTGCATTAAAAACAAATATAAACCTCATCTAGTGATATTAGCAATTCTCACTAAGATAACTCAATAACTATATGTTCTAAAGTCCTTCAAATCAATTTAGGTTATAATTTAGTACAGCTGTGCCCTGTAAATTACGTACAAAGCCGGGTCAGAAGCAGCCCAGTCAGGCACAAAGAGTACTGACCACATTTGGACTCAGGTCTGGCGTTAGCCCGGCCACATGTTCCTTGTTGCACGCCTCATTTTCCTCATGCACAAACTGAGAACAGTTATCTCTGTCACACTTATTTCACCTCCCAAATAATCTCTGAAGTCTCTGAGTAATTTCTGAAATCTCTATTTCTGTAATCTCTGAAATCTGTACAATGCTTTACAGTTTCCAAAGGCTTTGTATGTCCATTATTTTTTGCTCCTCAAAGGGACTCTCTCTCTTGTCCATTTCACAGATGAGAACTCCAAAGCTCTGGGCAGTTAAGAGATTTGCCCAGCCTCACACAGAGAATAAGTGGAAAGCAACCATTAAAGTTCAGTTCTTCTGATTAAAATCCAAAGGTTTTAATGAGGTTCCTTCTACCTCATCACATTAGGCAAATACATTCTAAACTTCAGGCGCTACAGAAACCCAAGTCATCGCTCTTATTATTCATTTTCCCTGTCACTTTCTCAGATCTGTGTTACCATTAGACATGCATCTTTAATTTGAAGTGTGTCTGCATGTGTGTGCGCTCGCCTGTGTGTGTGTATAGCTAGGACACTTGGTTGGGAATTCATTTATATATTATTTCCCATTATAATGATGAGAACCAGAAACCCAATACACTTGAAAAATGAAATAAAATAATAACACACACATATTCTTCACTCTGAAAATCAAATTTAGATATTAGTCACCCAATAGATCAGCTCATATTGTTTTCTTCAAGTTGGATTTCTACTTTACAACTTCTTTTTTTCTTCTAAAAATTAAATGCTAGGGGCCAGCCCCATGGCGTAGCGGTTAAGTGCGCGCACTCTGCTGCTGGCGGCCTGGGTTCAGATCCTGGGCACGCACTGAGGCACCGCTTGTCAGGCCATGCTGTGGCAGTGTCCCATATAAAGTAGAGGAAGATGGGCATAGATGTTATCCCAGGGCCAGTCTTCCTCAGCAAAGAGAGGAGGATTAGCATGGATGTTAGCTTAGGGCTGATCTCCCTCACAAATAAACAAATAAAAAATTAAAAATAAACGCTACTTTCCAAAATTTACTTTCATTTACCACTTTAATGCTGCAATTTTCTAAGCCACAAATTTCTCCTTTGAGTTAGAAAGTACCATAGCCAATACAGGTGTGTCCTATTTTAAAGAAACTAGTATATTAATATTCCAATAAATAAAAACTAATAAGCTAGGATGTAATTCAAAATGATTGATTGTAGAGTTGCTTTAAATGTAAACTCTGCTAAGAAACACTGCAATCTACATTTAACTTTTCAGGACTATAGTCATCAAAATAAAAATAACATCCAAACAAATATGTCTATAGTAGTTTCATAAAATTTAAAGTATCTACAAACATTTTGCTAAATTCTAATATTTCAGTCTAAATAACATTTTTTAATAATGTTGCCCACTACGTGACACAGGAGGGAACAGGGTTTCTGACTCCTTGGGCCCATATCTACTTTAGGATGCTTTAAAGTGACACAAGGGCTTCCCTCTGCACTTAGGATTCCTGCCTGGGTCTGGAGCCTGATTCACATCAGCCTATGGTGTACCCACGGCACAGCTTGCTCCAACATCCATTCAACTGGCAAAAGGATGTAGCTCCAGAATTGTAGTGAAGACATTCTGGACTGATAATGAAGGTACCGCCAGCCTGAGGAAAATTCTGTGTCCAAGCACTAGTGGGATTTCATCTAGTGGAGAACTTAAGAGAGACTAGAAACGCTATGAGGTAGCTAGAGTGTAGTAGCCTACAAACTGGATCCAGGCTTTCTACAGGCAAAAATACTTTCATTTTGATATGGCCATAGATCTCTGTATTGCCTCCAGTAATAAGCAATTCCTTTAGCCTTTTCTAGAGGAGACTGTTACATCATTGTCATTATCATTATCACAGTAGAGGCAGGAGCAAATGCTTAATGTCTACTTATTATGTGCCAGGCACATGCACTGCACATGAATTAACTCTATCCACCTTCAACAACCCTGAAGTAGGTACTATTATTGTCCCAAATTTATAGGTTAGGAAACTGAGGCACAGAGAGTTATTAAGTAGTGGGGCCTATGAACCCAGACAGTCTGGTTTCAGCACCCTGACTCTTAATGACTACTCCACCACATTGCTCTGAGGTCAATACCATGGAAATACAGTGTGAAGAATGACTAGCCTCTCACACGTGGACAGAAACTCCAGCTAACAGGATGACATGTGCAGACGCATTGGAGTGAGAAGGTGAGTTGTACTAAGGAGTTTGGGTTAGTCATAAAATAGGGCTGGTGGTGAGAAGAACGGGTGGCACAGCCAGGATGAGGTTAGATTAGGATAGGACTCATAAAATGTGGAGCTTATATTGCAGACTGTAGGGAACCAAAAGCTATTTGTTTTTGGTGAGGAAGATGAGCCCTGAGCTCACATCCGTTGCCAATCCTCCTCTTTTTGCTGAGGAAGACTGGCCCTGAGCTAACGGCTGTGCCCATCTTCCTCTACTTTACACGTGGGACGCTGCCACAGCGTGGCTTGATGAGCGGTGCGTCGGTCTGCACCTGGGATCTGAACCTGCAAATCCCAGGTCACTGAAGAGGATGCGTGAACTTAACTGCTGCGCCACTGGGCTGGCCCCCAAAGGCTATTTTTAAGTAGGGAATGAGCAGTTCAAATGTGTTATTAACACATCTCTGGTACAGTGTGGACGAGACGCTGGGTATTGGGGATAGCTGAACGGTAGGAAAGCTGTACGGAATCCCGAGGCTAAGGGAAGAGATGATGAGATGCAGCAGGCAGGCGGAAAAGAAGGATCGACTCGAATGGCAGTTCTGAGGTGGAGACAACAGGACTCGATGACTGCCTGCGGAACGGAGGTTCTGAGGAGAAGGGAAGTGTGAATGCAATTCCCAAGTTTCGAGCTCAGGAGACCGAGCAGTGCCAGCAGTAAGTGCACTCGGGGAAAACGGTGACAGAACTGACAGAACGTGTGGGGAGAAGATAGTGAATATATTTTTTGGCATGCTAAATTTAAGACCTGAAGAATATACCTGCATCCATGGATTTACAGCAACCTTGATGAAAATAAAGTACTGAGACTCAGGAGAGAATTGGGGGTGAAGACCAAGAGTACTCTGTAAGGCCTCAGTGAGCAAGGGTAGCTGCAGCTACAGGAGGAAAAAGGGCCACAGGCGGCACCTCCAGGAAAGAAGACCTGAGGAGGTCTTCTTAGATTAGAGAAGACCGAGGAGCAACGGTCAGCAGAGAAGGAGGGACATCAGAAGAAAATCCAGAAGGCTAAGAAGAGTTTCAAGGAGGGTGGTCAAATGCTACCAGAAAAAAAAAAAGAACTTTCTATGTTATCACCCCTTTGGTGTGGGAATAAGATAGTGTGGAGCTGTGCTTTTCCATCTACGGTATGCTCCGAGGAAGCATAGAGATTCCAAGAAAGCTTGTTACCAATGTTCACGCTGGTTCATCACCTTTGGGGTGAGTCCCAGGCAGGCAGCTACATCGTCACCAGCCCCCCTGTAACGTTCTGAAGGAGGTGGGCGAAAGGCCACACCCAGAAGAATAACAGCATAGAGATTTTTTTTTTTTGTGAGGAAGATCAGCCCTGAACTAACATCCGTGCTAATCCTCCTCTTTTTGCTGAGGAAGACCGGCTCTGAGCTAACATCTATTGCAAATCCTCCTTTTTTTTTTTTTTGTTCCCTTTTATCCCCCTAAAGCCCCAGTAGATAGTTGTATGTCATAGCTGCACATCCTGCTAGTTGCTGTATGTGGGACACGGCCTCAGCATGGCCAGAGAAGCGGTGTGGCGGTGCACGCCCAGTATAGAGATTTGAAACTTCTTTATGTCTCAGTAATGACAGTCATACAACACAGATTTCCTAGTCAGGGAGACTTGGATTTTAATTCCAGCGAGGCCACTTACGAGATTCAAAAGAGGTAAGTGAGCCACTCAGCACCGGGTCTGGAGCCTGCAAGCTTTCAATGTCTGGCAGGTTTTATGTTACACACTTCCACTCATACTGATGTTTTTCAGGAAAGAATGACATAAAAGGTAATAGATGAGAGTTATAATAAAGCTAAAATTTCTGGTGCCCAGCATTCTGAGGAGGGAACTGACCACCCTACTCTGCAGTAGACATACAAGTAACCGGGACGAATGGGAAAGGCAGCTATTGGCTCCTCTCCACTCAGGTTTTATCATACCACATCATTCCTTTCTTTAAAGTGAGTAAATTCTACACAGATGTATTTATTCATATATTTAATAAGAGAAACACATTTCCCTAAACCAAGTATTAATGTCCTTTAAATTATCTACTATTTTAGATCTTAAAAGGCAGAATTGAACGTGAAAATAATTTTGTTACAAGACATCCAGAGTGATAGGGTAAATCAGGTTGCTATGTAGGGAATTCCCTCTCCACTCTCTTCCTTCGTTATTCCTAGATGTTCATCCTGCAAAACCTCTGAACAAGCTCTCAGGGGTTATTTATTTTAAATATATATATATATATATATATATACACACACACACACACACGCACATACATACAAACTATATATTATATATACACGATAGTATATATGTAGTATATATATGCTATATACAGCATATACATTATGCTATATACGTATAGTACATATTTTTATAGTATATATAGTATCAGTTGATTATATTCTACTTAAAACGAACATTTTAGGCACCTTCTAAAACTAGAGTTCTGCTCTGGTTGGAACACTACTGGCACTGGAGGACCTCCTCATCTCCTCATTTCTTCCCAGTCTTCTTGAAAATGTGACC